TGGAGAAAGGCAACTTCATATGAGTGTGCGATTGATTCTGATAATTTTGAATAGGGTCCAGGAGAAAATAGAGTAGGTGCTTCAACTCCCTGTCCTCCAGCAACACGTCGTGCTCGTGGTAGCGCACGATCCACCTGGAGAAAAGCAACTTCGTGTAAGTAAGCGGACGATTTCGATAGTTTAGAGTAGGAGCCGGGAGAGAACAGAGCACGTGCTCCTGCTCCTTGTCCTCCAGCAACACGTCGTGCTCGTGGTAGCGCACGATCCATCTGAAGAAAAGAAACTTCAGATAATCAGACCGGTAGAATAGTAGAAATCCTGGTTATGAAAGAGTTCGCGGGTGCATTTTTTATTGTGCTCCAGCTCCTTGTCTTCCAGCAACACGTCGTGGTAGCGCACGACTTACTCGAAAGAAGAGAGAGGGAATCTAAATACTTCAATCGATGACTTGAGGCATCTTCTGAGGAGCATTCTCTGAGAAAATCGTCCGAAGAAGGCAGAGTGGAGGCAGCTACGCAGTCTTCATGCAACTGAGTGAACGAGGGACCTTCCAGCCAAGAAATCTATCACCCAAGAATCTTTGAAAACGTTCTGCGGACCGAAGCCTCACCGCGGCCGGTTCCGCAGCAGCACGCGCGCGAGCACGTCGTCCTTCGGCGGCGCGTCGTCAGGTATCGCAAACTCCTTCACGCCCCGCCGCACCGCCTCCTTCACAGCCTCCTCAACTCGCTCCGGATGCGCCGCGCCCTCCGCGGCCGCGGCCGCCCCCGCGGCCGCCCCGATGACGTCGGCGGCCAGATCGGGCGACCGACCAACCCCGTTCGCGGGCGTCGTGGTCGCCGGGGACGGCGCGTTCGCGGGGGCGGTGCTTTCCTCCGGGACGTAGTCGTCGTCGTCTTCGGCTAGGGTGTACAGGGACTCGAGCTCCTGGTTGGAGAAGTGGTTGGCGACTTGCTGCTCGTCGACCACGCGCGCGGACAGGCTCTCCTTGGTCACCTGGAGGCCCGGAAAAAGCCCATTAGGCCAGCATCGGTGGAATAAGAGGTTTTATGCACATTTGCTTGGAAACGCTCGCTTATCGACCTCGCTTGTCAAGGCGAAATTAACATGCTGAGACATCGAATTTAGCACTTCAGGACACTGTGATAGATATAGATGGTGTTCAGTTCCCAATGAACCAAGTAAAGATTATGTTCAGCCGGACGATGAAGCTGTGGAAACTATTGGTCAAACGAGGGACAACGGAACACAGTGGAATATTTTGACATAAAAAGTCGGAATTTTCTAATCTTGGAATCCCTTTGCATGATTGTGCATCAGTTGCGTAGAATTCTGACCCATGTGGTGATAGGCAGCTGTAGTTGGTTCAAGGACCCCCGCAAGAGCTCCATATCCTTAAAGGCTTTGGAGGCGATGTACGTCGAAAACAGAACTTCGGGTTTAGAAGTTTTAATCTGAAACTACTCTACAAAGAGGAAAGTCAAAGCGAGCCCCTCAGAAATTCTCCCTTACCTGTCTAGCATAGATGTTTTCCTCCATGGTCCCGCAGGCCAGCAACCGGTAGACGAACACCGGCTTCGTCTGGCCGAACCTCCACGCCCGGAACATGGCCTGAAGATCGTGGGTCGGGTTCCAGGAACCGTCGAAGATAACCACCCGGTTAGCGGCAGGAAGGTTGATTCCGAGGGAGCCGGCCTTGGTGGAGATGAGCACGCACTTGACGTCAGTGTTGGATGGGTCATTGAACCTGCAAAGGGGCATGTGTGAAGTCAGCATGACGCCAGCTAGATCGAATGTGACTCTTTGAGGGTTCGCTGATGCTCCGACTTGAAAACGATGGCGACAGACAGCGTTTTCGTTACCGCACCAGTCGCGTCTGGCTATCACGGCTGATCCAGACGCAAACTATGAAGCTTGAGAGTCAACATGTGCATTCCTTTGTGCAAAGAACGAACGCTATTACAGGGTTTCTTCTGAGTACTTCGGTTGCGCTTATCGACGCACAGAATCCTCTACGCTAAAACTACATTGCCACAACCTGCTTCTGTGATGTCAACATAGATTCTATGTTGTGAAGTCAGCAGCAGCCCTGCCCACCGTTCCACGAGCTTCTGCCGCGCCGTCGACGGCGTCGAGCCGTCCAGCCGGTAGTACTCCCGGTTCTTGCACCACGTCTCCCCGGTGCCGCTTTCCACCCGGGGCAGCGTGGCCAGCGCCGCTTCCATCACGTCCAGTGTGAACAGGCTCTGGGAAAACACCAGCATCTTGTCCCCGCGTGCAGTTGCTGTCCTTAGCAAGTCCAGCACGATTGCAACTTTTCCGCTGCCGTCGATCAGATCCACGGGATCCGGCATTTCCTCTTGCCACCACGAATTGGGGATGTCCAGCCCCGGCTGCCGGGGAGTCTTGGTCTTCGCCCCGGGGGGGCGCCCGCGGCCGCGCCGCGCAGGCGGCTTTCCGCTCTCGGACCCGTTCCGTTCGAGTTCCGCTCCCGTTCCGGTTCCGCTCCCGTTCCGCTCGCCGGACGCTTCGGTCGCCGCCGAAGGTGAGACGCCTCGGGGGCCGTTCTGCTCTCCGGGGGCTCCGTTCCGGTCTCCCTTCGCCGGACTGTTCACGGCCCCTTCCTCCACTGCGTCATCTTCGCCCCTACCCGGCTGCGCAGTTGCGGTGGCGCCGGAAACGGACGGCATTGCGGAAGGCGTTTTCGGACGTACGGACGCAGAGGGGTCCTCCGCGGGCGGCTCGCCGGACTCGTCGTCCCCCGCGATCGCATCTTCGAGCGTGTCCTCAGCCTTAGCGTCTTCTTTCTCCTTGGCCATGTGGAGGAGGTTCGGATGGTTCCACACCTGAGGGGAGGAGGGTACTGAGTTTTAATCCAGAAAGCAGGCCTAGCAATTACAGAAGATATCGTTTGGGAATCGCTGCAAACTGCGCCTTAGAAGAAGATTCGACAGGGTTCTGGAGGGCAGCCGCACCTTGGAGGGGAGTCTGCTTGTTGATCTCTTCCCAGTAGCACTCAAGAGGTTGCAAGGTTATACAAGAGGTTACGCAGTTGAAACTACGCCCGCTCAGAGTTGAGAAAGAGTGGTTAATTGACGGAAGAAACAGCTGTACTCGGGGGCAATTCCACTACGCACGACGAAGAAGAGTCCGAGCGGCGCACCTCCTATTCTTGCCTGATACGCTGTGGAAAAAGAGAGAAGATTGGACTTGACAGGACACTTCGCAGCTCTCCGCTTGCCCAAGATGTCTTGAAGTAAGACTAGAAAAGACTCAATCAGAACCGAGAGTCCCCACCATGATTGGCGCCTAACATGCCTTGAAACCCAACGCATGCAGGAACAATCGAAGACAGAAAACATGGAGCCATTGGAAGAGAGGCTCACCTTGGTTAGCGCCTGGTACGCTTGGAACAGGTAGTTCTTCCCGCTCTTGCCCTGCTTGTGCGGGATCGCCGCCAGGAGCCGCTGGTACAACCGCCGCTGTAGCGGCGAGAGGCGCACGGAGAGCACGTAGACCGACTTGGGCGGGAGCATGTCGCCCAGGAGGCGCTGGTCCTTGCGCTGCACGAAGCCGAGCAGCAGCTTGTGCAGCACGTGCGACTGGCGCTTCATCTTGCGGATGTCGGTCTTGGTGGAGTCGATGTGCTGCCCGTTGCTGATCGGGTTCTGGAACCTGGGGACGGAAAGGAGGGTTTGATGTTTTGAGGTTCGGAAGTTGATGAGTCAATGTGCCGGCGCTTGCTCATGGGTTTCTGAAACAGAGAGACGTAGGAAAGGATTGAGGGTGAGGGTTGAAGAGAAACGTTCTGAGGTGCGAGGTAAAGGGTTTGAACCAAAGAAAGGCTTTGAAGTGTCAACAATGGTGAGGCCTGATGTAAGTGTCCTCCCGAAGCTTGGCATGTAAGAGGCAAAGGGTTTCGGGTTTTGAGGTTCGCTGATCGGAGAGATTATAAAGCTTGACAAGTCATCGCTGCGACAAGCCCTTAAGGACGAACAAAGGACCTTGTAGAATACAAAACGTCTGCTTTCCTTCCATGAAATTCTAGAACGGTCGCCATCGAATTCGTGCCAGGACTCCGCCGCTCACTTGTTCTTGAATTGCGCGACCGTGCCCAGCAGCCGCTCGCGCACGAAGTCCACCATACAGTAATACTCCAGCAGGTTGTTTTGCAGCGGCGACCCCGTCAGCGCGACGCGCCGCCGCGTCTTCACCGCCTTCAGCTCCTTCGTGATGTCCGCTTTTATGTTTTTGATCATGTGGGCTTCGTCGCAGATGAGAACGTCCGGCCCCGGGTCGCGCAGCGACTGCTTGAACGACTCGCGCAGCGCGGGGTCTTTGATGGTGCGCCCCGAGACGGCGTTGCGGAACGCGGTGTAGCCGATGATCATCGCGCCCCCGGTGCGCTGCCAGCGCGCGAGCATCTCCGCGCGCTGCTCGTTCTTGCTGCGGGAAAAGAGTCGGAAAATGGTCAGTTTGGAAACAAAAGTTCGGAACAGCCAGGGTTTGAGGATTGAAAGTAAGGGGATGTCTCAACTCTCGAGCATGCTGCATGGCCTTGCTGCACAGATGCAATGCAGAGAGAAAGGAAGTTCGAAGCATATGTACTTTCGAGAGGCGACAACTTCGAAGCAGCTGAAGCTTCAGATCTTCAAACATGGTAGGCCCTTCATCAGCTTTGAAGACTGCCCAGTCGGTCAAACCACCGACGTCTGGTTGATCAATCTTGCAGCAAATTGCGGGCAGCTTTGCCAAGAAGTACATCGGTGAGAATGTCCGATCACCACCTGTGATAGATTTGCCTAACCGTAGAAGCACAAGTTTTGTAACTGCCGCCTCAAAAGACGTACGAACGCTTGCATTGACAAACGAGAGCTAAGTGGAAGAAATCACGAAGGAAGGAAACTACTCACGAGCCGGCGTCCTCAACGGTGTAGACCTTGACCTTCTTGCGGACGGTGTGCTCCTGGCCGCCCTGCCATTTGTTGAATTCGGACGACCAGTTGCGCAGCACGTTGACGGGCACCACGATGAGCACCGTCCGGACGTTGAGCTCGCGGTTGGTCAGCAGCGTGTGGACCAGCGTCACCACCTGGACGCACGGACAGGAAAGAGTTCGGAGACATTTTCGGACGTGTTACGGACACCTAAGACTTAAAGTCTTGGGAACTTGCCGGGATTCTGCCGAGGCAGAAGCCGAAGGACGAGCACGGAAGTGCAGAGATTGACAATTTCTCGAACGCATGGACAAGGGTTCCGAACACCTTCTTGGACCATTTCCCGGACACGTTACGGTCACGTCAGATTGGAGAGGCTCGGAGCTCGGCAAAGGTCCTGAAAGGACAGATGTTGAAGGCCCAAGGGAGGAGGACAGCGGAACTCAATCCTTCTTGGACTTGCTCCACGCCTGGAACTAAATCTTCCTTTTTACCACACTCCAGCTGCACCGTTACAGATTCAGGATGTTGATTCCGACAAAACGAGTGCTCGGAAGGAGCTGCAGAATTTCAAGGCGCACCTGGAGCGTCTTCCCGAGCCCCATGCTGTGAGCGAGGATGCAGCCCAGGCCCTCCTTGGGAGTGTCGGCGCATATTTTCACCGTCTCGACGATGTTCTCCCACATGAAGCGCACTCCTTCCACCTGAAAAGACGAGTAAAGCGTTCGGTCTTAACGGCTTTCGCAGCTTAATTGGATAATCCTTCCCAGAGCTTCTACATCGCAGAGTAGAACTCTTTGTACGGGCGCGTAGGTATGCGACGTGCAGAGTGGAAGGTGCGGTAGAGAGCCAACGAAAACATTGGCGGCATTAGCGAACGGATTTTCGTGGTTTGCAAGTTTGTATCGCCACCATATCGGCCCACTGATTGAAAAGCCGCCATATCAGTCCGGTCATCAGTCCGGTCACCTTTTTCCAGTGGAAGCAGAAAGAGAAAACAGCTACGCCTGTCTTGAAGCAAAGGCTTACTTGGTGCGGCTTCAACTTTTCTGCTATCGCCGGGTCGATGAAGATCGGGTCCTCGTCTTCCGGCCTCGACGTGTTAATGATCACGGTCCGCCCGGAGTTGCCATCTCCCAACTCCTTGTCGAAGCCCACCTCTTCGTCGACCATTTCCGGTGAGTCCTCGTCCACTGCTGCGCCGACGGACTTGCGGGGCGTGCCACGTGGCCCCTTGAGGGGCGAGAGCGCGGTGTTGGCGCGCCGCTGCTCGATGCGCGCGAGCCGCTCGCGCTCCATGTTGAGCTTCGCCTGCGTCTCGGGGTCTAGCTGGTCGTTGATGGCCTTGATGTTGCGCCGCCCCTTGCGCTTCCTGCAGAGAGGGGTGCGTGCAACTTACCACTAAAATCTCCGAATCTTGGAGGACTCAAGAGGCTGTACTTGATTCTTGCCAAGAAGCGAGAGAGATGTTGAGGTCCGAACTGGGGGCAATGACTCGGTCCACAGCTTGACCAGAGGTAAAGAGCCAGACGCCTCTGAAAGGATAATAGACGCGGTTGCTTGCCGCAACCGTTCTGAAGGATCATGGAAGTTGCTGCTCATAAAACCGAACTTCAAACCTTTTCAAAATATGGAAAGAACGACAATGAAGAACATGTGGAGCGCGAATGTCGGAAAGATTCGCAGTGAGGCCCCGGTGCCTTGTTAGGAAAGGTAGACGCGAACACCTCCATCTGCTTTTGAAATGGTGGTACAGGCACGACGGGACTAGACCATCTGAAAGCTGACGGTTATCACGACGCTGCAGCTACCTTCTTGGTGTTCGTAAGCAGAAGCACTTCACCAGACCCTGCCTGTCTTCTCTCGACGAAATAACGCCAAACCAACCGACCGTCAGGAAACTTTTGGAGCAGCCTCTTACTTCTTCTCGAGCTGCGCCGCAGAGGTCCCCGTTCCGCCCTCCTCCCCTCCTTCCGTTTCCGCCGCCCTGCAATGCGCCTCCTGCAGCTTCCGGATTGGCTCGTTGTCGCACGAGTAGCACACCCAGTTGTCGCCAATTGTCTCCCAAGCCGCGTCCCCCAAGTTGCGCACGACGCAGTCTCGGCAGACGGTCTTCTTGCACGAGGTGCACAGGGTTAGCGTGCCGCCGTCGCCGCACCACTGGCACTCCTCCTCCCAGCCGTCGTCGCCCTGCGGAACCCAGGTTGAGGATAGGTTTAGCAATAAGACGATTTGGCACAAGCGTACATACTGGGAAGAAGATGGAGTTGACAAAAAGACGGTCTTCAGCAGCACGGGCTCAAACCGCTTGAACCAAAATCAGCAACAGTGATTGGTGATTTCAAAGATAACGAGGAGCCCGGTCAGTGTTCAGGACCATCTTGTACTCTGCCGATGGTGAGATAGCTCTACTTCATTAAGCTGACGCTGCAGGTTCACCTTCAGCTCACGAGAAGCCAAAAGGGCGTAGTCCCACGTCATCAAGTAGAAATGCGCAGGAACAAAGAAGAAGGCTGAACGACAAGCCGCGCTCAAATCGTACATCAGACATGCAGCCGCCGACCAAATTTCACACGCACTTACCACCGGGAAGGTGGCCGCTTTGTAGTGCTCCAGGCACCGGCGGCACTGCGTCACCAGCAGCACCGGGTGCTGTCGCACTTTGCTCTGCTTGAGCGCCTTCGGACACGTGGTGCATTTACAGCCCAACCGGACCTTCTTCCCCTTCTTTTTCGTCCCCTTCTCCTTGCCCTTCTTTCCCCTACTCGACTTTCCGCTCACTTCCGTTCCGTCCGCTTCCGCTCCGTCCTGTTCCTCCTCCTCGTCTTTGCTGCTCGGATCCGACTTTCGTCGTTTCGACGGGCTGGCCTCGGCAGAGTAGAATCCGTCCGAGTCCTGGTCTCCCTTCTTGCCAAGCCTGCCCTTGCTGACGTCCGCACTTTTTCGCTTCTTCGGCTTCTTCTTCTTGGACCCATTTTGAGCAGCCTCCCGTTTCGCCATCTCGCGGTCCTTTTTCCGGTCCCAAGCATCATCGGAATCCGCCGCATCTTCCATCTCCTCGTCGCTGTAGTCATCCTCCACCGTGCCGTCCTTCTTCGGCGTCACGTGCCCTTCCGCCTTCTTCGGGGTCACCTCTTGTGCACCGCCTTCCGTTTCCGGCGTGCTCGGCCCTTCCGTTCCGGCGGTTCCCCGGGCCTCTTCCCCGAGCACCGGCTCGGTAGCCTCTGGCTTTTCGCTTGCGCGTCCATCCGCCTCCATGTCAGAACTCTTCTCCACATTGTCCGAGCCAGCCCGCTCTTGCTCTTCATTCTCACGGCGACCACTTGGACCGGTATGTACCTCCTCTTCGTCATCTTGCAGCACTAGCCGCCGTCGCCCGCGCTTCCTTCCTCCAAGCGGTGGCGACTGGAGTTTGCGAGCGCTTTCCGGCTGTTCCGACTTTGCTGCTGTACCCTCCAGATTAGCCGGCGTGCTTTCCGCTAGACGTTCTTCCGTGCCCTCTTCGCTGTCCGGCGTTCTGCCCTTCCACACGCTGGGCGTCTCCAGCTCGCTCAGCCGCTTCAGCTTCTTCTTCGACGCCGGACTGTCCGGACACCGCCGCGGCGTCCGCACCGGACTACTGACCTCAGCATCCTCCTTCCCCCGAGCGGCGACAGTCGCGCTCGCCGCGCAGCTCGCAGCGGTTGCCCCAAACTTCGGCCCCTGCGCGCCGCTTACCGGACTCTCCCCCACGGCTTCCGCAGACCGGTCCAATGTCTCCCCTTCTTTGCTGCTGGTCGGCCCCTCCTCCGCTTTCCTCTTCCCCGCGGCTTGTTCCCTCTTTCGGGCCGCATCTCGCGCCACTTCCTCAACGGTGCGGTCGTCTACCTTCGTATCTTCCTCTTCCGCTTCCATATCTGCGTCCTCTGCAAGCTTCCCAACCGGTTCCGGCTCCCCCAACGCAGCCCGCAACTGCCCCCTCGTCCTCCTGGCGATCGGCGGCTCGCTCCCTTCTCCAAACTCCTCACTTCCTGACGCCTTCTTCGCGCTACTCTTCTCTTCTTTCACGCTCCCTTCCATCGGCTCAGTATCCTCCAGTTCAACCACCACCGGCGGGGCGGGAGTGGCTGCTTCCTCCTCGCTTTCGCTCGCTAAGTCCACCACCTGGACTCCGGTGGGCAGCGCAAAGCGAGGGCGCTTCACCGCCGGCGACTCCCCCAGGCTCGCCCGTTTCACGCCCGCCTGTTCCGTTTCCGGCGAGGCTCCGCTTCCGCCCCGGTTCTCTTGCCGGGCGTCGTCCGAGGGGGACGGAATCTCCGCTTCGCTCATGGCTCCTGTCCGCTGCGTTCCCCGAGCGCCCTCAGACGGCTGGTCAGCTACCGCTCCTCCACCGACCGACTCGGTCTTCCCGTCTGCCTCTGCCCACCCCTCGCCTCTCCCCACCGGGCTGTCGTCTGCCTCGCACGCTGGAAAGTCCGCTTGCTCGACCGGTTGATCACGTCCCGGAGACAACGGCCGAGCCTTCTCGGGCTTCTCAGCGCCCGCTCTGACCGCAGAGATGCTCTCAGTCCCGTCCTCTTGCGCGGTTTCGAAGCTCCGTTCTGGAGACGTTGTCCCGGCTTTCAACGGCTTCGCCGCGGCAGTGCTTCTAGCTTCAGGGGCGGCTTCGGTACCACTTTGGGCCACCAAGGGAGTGCTCGCCTCTCGTGCATCCGGTCCGAGGGGCTCGGTGGACTTCTTTGAAGCAGCCGACTTGGGTGTTGGTGCTCTGGGAGCCCGGGGCTTGCGCGGCTTTGGTTCCTTGAACTGGTGCTTCTTGCGCTGCCTGACGGTCTTCACTCGGTCCTCGTCGTCTCCCCTCTGCAGCGAATGGACGGCGGGTCAGAGGGACGATTGACTGAGACCGGGGTTGAAAAGGCCCGAGGCGCACTGAAAAGCATGACAGGAACTCGTCTTGGGAGTTCCGTCATCGTCAACATGTTCAGCAGACTCTCATCCCCTTATTTTACGCATTGCGTGCCAAACGTTGACATTTAGCACACAATGGAAACACCTTTTGACCTAACACGAAAGAATCTCCCGGTCTTCCTCGATGCAGATTTTGTATCTGCTTGTCCGTTAGGGATAATATTTGTCAGAGGCTGACGGGGAACTTCTAGCCCATTTTCAAAGGCCCCCTCCTTTTCGAAACCCAAACTCCTTTCGTCCGGACAAGACTCCATGTACTCATACCTGCTGATCTCTGACACCCGCAAGAACTGAAAACAGCCAACCGGAGATAATCTGAAGCATTGGTGCAATCAACGCGGAGCTTCTTGTAAAGGGCAGGTGCTGGAGAGCATTGCGGTCTGCGAGTCGATGGGAGGCCCCTCACCTTCTTCATAGTCTTCCGCTGGGTCTCTGTCAGGCCCTTCTTGCTTTCTTCCTTGTATGCCTTCTTCAACAACCCCTCCACCACCTTGCTCTCTGCCACGCCGGACTCTCCAATCTCTTCAACCTAAAACACGAGCGCAGAGTATGAAAGCTCCATTCCTTGTGAGTTCTCTTTCCACATAGGCAAGAGCTGCCGCTGTCCTGGCATCCGCGATTTTTGACTTTGGTGTTTTGATGCTCGCAACCTTCTTGACCTACAGTGCTGGCAAAGAGAACACCTAAATCTGGCAAATCGTACTCTGCTTAGAGAAGGAAAGCCACACAAGAAGACTGCACGACGATTTCAAGTAAAACTCTCGGTTTTGTGACTTACCTCAGTGGCGCCTTCGATTGTCTCGCACAGCCGGACAGCATCTTCTGGTGTCTCTGCCTTATAACGGGATGCAAACTGCCGGAACATGGTTTTTGCAGTCGGGTTTGTCGCAATCTTGGCGAAGGTATCTCCCTCATCATCGGACGAACACACAGCGGCCCAGATTGCCTCCCCGCTGATTGACTCCTCTGGCTCTGAAACGGCCTCGTCATCCTCGCTACTGCTTTCGTCCTCCTCTTGTGGTCCCGCTGTTGCTTCCGAAGCTCCGTTGAGAGGCTGCAGAGAGAGTAACCGGTAAGGAAAGGCGAGAGCTTTCCGCTTAGGCAGGCTTGTCGAACGATCGAGACGATTGCTCTTCGCAACCGCATTGGGGAAACTTGTCAGCGTCTGTGAGGACGTATGACCATACTTGATAAGAAAGCCCCTCTACTTCACATGCTTTCGAAGAGCTTAAATTTTTGAACGAGGCCCTGACACAAAGCCTTTCAACTGCATGTCAATCGAATGCCATATCAAAATTTACAATCAAGAACGTTCCCACTTTGCACCCATTCGGCTGCAGAGGGATACTCTGCAGTCTGGCTGGTTCAGCTTTCTGGAGCCAAGTTTTCCCACATTTGAACTATCTGGATCACGACTGGACTCTGTTGAGTAAGCTCATTACCTTTACAACCACACTCATAGCAAGCAGCACCTGTCAAACGTCATGGGTTAACAAGCGACCCCCCAATCCAAAAAGGTTTGGAGGGCGCAACAAGCTCTCCTCTGGCCAAGCGCACTGACCTGCTTTGCTATTTTTGCTGCCGCTTTGGCTCTTCTTTTCTCGATCTGCCTGCTCTTCTTTCGGATCTCCTGAACCTTTCGTGCCATAAAACCACTCGCACCAAGTCCAAGCCTTCGGCCTTCCTTGTCCGTCCTGCAGAAAGTCAACTCAATTGACCTTCTAGCAGCTGCGGAAACTGAAGCATAAGACAGAGGAAAACTCGAACCTCACCAGAACTCGATGAAAGTACTGGAAACCCAAACTGTTCAGTCAGCGGAGCAGCCGGCATGTCACAATCAACATGCACAGGGGAATCACCTAACAGATGAATTCTTGACTTGAAAAACAACCAAACGGATAGTCATGCATGTTTCTCACCCTACGGGACGCTGTGCTTCGAGCTCCTGGCCCGCTTCCTTCAGAACAGCTTTCACTCTCTCCGGCACCTTGTCCTTGGTCCACTGAGCATTCTTCCAGGTTTCTGTTTTCGCCTGTTCACTCCACATCCGGTCGATCTCCATGTAGACACCCCGCAAGAACACGCCAGCGTCTTCTAGGAGCTCCTGATACAAGCAGGTGGGACCATCAGCATTGTTGACAAGGACAAGGCTCGGGATGTTGTGATGCACTGATTACCTCCTTATGCAGAGCCTTGTGCATCCAGACTCTTTGGGACAGCTTGTGTCCCCAGCGCTACAGAGCGTATCCCAAGCAAAGCTGGGCTTCCATGTCGATCAATGAATGTTACTCGTGCCGTTCCTCACAGCGGGGTGACCCTTGGTTTGACACATAAAAAGCCTCGCTTTGAGGAACTTGCAGTCTGGTGCATACCGTGCTCGATAGAGGCGATCTTGCGACAGCCAGAAACTCAAAAGGCAAAGAATATTGACTTTCACCTGCAACTCAGCGGCCTTGGCCTGCCCCTCGTTTAGGTCCTCTTCCTTGTACTCTCTGAAGAGTGCAAGTTCGCTCTCAATAGCTTCCTCCAACTGCAGTCAAGGAAGCAGCTTGTGAGTTGAAGCATCGCTATACCCTCCACCGAATGATGCACGTGTGATGTGCACAGGTGATGGTTTCATTTTGTTGCTCGGTGCATAGAAAGAAGGAACCAAGTATACTTGCCCCTACTATCAAGCAGTGATAGTAAAAGCTTATACACGACGTAGCAACTTTTTCCTTAAATGCACCAGCATGCAGCATTGAGCAATCAGTGCAAAAGAATTCCCTTGACATTCGACTGTTTTCCGATTCAAACTTCAAGTCCTGTCAGATGCAATATCTGATCTTGGCATGGATACTTACAGCATCACCCTGGTGCTGCTCTGCCAATTCAGCAGCCACATTGTCTCGTAATTGCTTGAGCGACTCCTCTTCCAGCTCCTCCTGCATCTCATAATTCTGCAGAGGACAAGACGAGAATTTGCAATCACGGTCAACTTGGCCAGCCTGAACGCACACAAAGGCAATAGTAATCCAGCTAGGATGCTTCAAAGCCCCGCTGATTCTGCTCTGAACTCTGGCGGACAGGTACATCAAGTTCTGATGCAAACAGGAAGAATGTGTAGGCCCCCAGGGTGAGATGACGCCCTGATTTGGAGCAGAAGGAATATTCACCTGAAGCTCCACCGCAATCAACTGATCAACGAGGTCCTGCAGCTGCTCCTCTGACAGGGGCCCCTGCATTGGAGCAAATTGCCTGGTTGATGAATACCACCACAGAAATTAGAAGTGAAGAGACAAAGTTAGAGCCTTTACTAGTTCACACTTGTCAGTCAAACCCTCTTGTCATGACTTGGAAGGAATTGCTCACTTACAAGTAGACCTGATGCAAAAACTGCTTGCTTTCAAGGATTTGATGGACTCAAAGTACAGCACTTTCCTCCGTTCTCGCGAGTCTGTTGGTCAGCACAGGATGGAGGCCATGCATCAAATCAACTTACCTGCGGCTCAGCATTGGAGGGACCTGACATCTGGTCTTCATCCATGTCAGAACTTTCGTCTCTGTCAGAGCGTGAAGAAAGCCTGTCAGCTTCTTCTCTCTCCCCCTCCTGATCACGTGCCCTTCCACTGTCAACAGGTTCCTTGCCATTGCCCCTCTGCTGTTCTTCCAGGTTCCCAGGCCCTACCTCGTCCGGTCTCAATGCAACAGGAGCAATCCTCCTCGTTGGCGGCCGAGCGCCATTGAGTGAAGCAGATTCAGTAGCTGCCGTCTGCCCCGTGTCCATGATCCCTGTTGGTGCACGTCTTTCAAACCCTAAGCACTGCTTTGCACAAGGCACCTACAATTTCAGAAAGTACAATAGCACCCACTTCTGCTGGCCCTGGCTCCCCCTTCCCCTAAGACGCCGTATACGCCGAACATTGAAATCGGTGTCAGAAACCCCAACCGTGCAGCCACCACCACGAACCAGCGCAGTTCTTATCAAGCGGTGCTGTGCCACCAAACCAACAGGACGCTTGGTAGGTAACAAGGGAAGACGAAACGTCCTTGCTGAATCCCACTCATCCACATCAGCAGGCCTGCCAGCGTTCACTCGCGGAAGTGCCTCCCGCCCGCTTCTCATGCAGCCTGCAGGTCTTGTCCAGGCATAGAATGACTCAAACTTCAGGTTTGAATTTTGAACATGACCAGAAACCCTTGCTAAGGTTACCGCCCGGGTTAACAGTCCAGGGGCCCCATTGCGAGCCGGGGCGGGACTTGCTCACGTCGCAGCACCGGGCAACTGGGGGCGAGCGCCCGCCGGTTCTTCATCCAAAACAGTGGGTTAACCGAGACCATATTTGAAGATTTCCCGCCAAATTTCAAAGGGTAGCTCTGGAGTCTGCAGAAGTGTAGGTATCAGCGCGGCGTTTGCTGCCATTGGCATTGGCATTGGCTGCCGAGTTGCCAATTGTGGCCTGCGCCCGGCTGCCAACAAGCTCATGAAAGGTCATGCACGTACGGATGAGACTTCAGAGTGAGAGGGCATTGGGCCATGGGCAGATGGCCGGCCGCCGCTGACGTCCCTTCCAGAATCCACGTAAAGCGGCCGCACTTCAGCTCACATGTAAGGCTTCCTCGGTAAGGCGCATATGAGAAAGCTGCAAGCAAATGCAGGAACATATTCTGGAGCAGAGCATGTACAGGTCCTGAGGCGTGCCAAGTTAGCTTCCCTCTCTTGCGACGGTACAGATGGCAGCCAGTCAACGAGCCACAGGATGTTATAAGTGTGGCGGGACAGGGCATTGGGCTCGGGACTGTCCAGCGGATGGGAAACCCGATGGGAAGCAGGAAGGGGAGCCTGCAAAAGACGGGCAGCGAGAATGGAAAGAGTGGAAGGCGCCCACGGGGAAGAAGAAGCAGGCGTTTGACGTCCTTGGGCCAAAGAGGATTTTCACACGCCCGAAACTGACGGAGGACGTTCTGCTATCGAAGGACAAGGGCATCGGTTACATCTTGCAAGAGTTTCCAAAGCTGATGGAGATCAAAGGGAGGGGGCATGAGGTACGTTCTCAAGGGTGGCAAGAAGAATGTTTGATAGCCGCGCAAGCCTTCTCCTGAAGAGGCCTTCCTAAATCCTCATGTATGATGCCCTTCTCCTCCGTCTAGATGTTTGCCAGTCTGTGCAGGTCGACAGATGTTGTTTCTCAAAGCATACACGGATGTTCAGTTGTTTCTAAGCCAGTCTAAAGGTTTCAAGCTGTTGACTGGATGTTGTCCAAGTTGAAGCTCAAAAAGCGTGGCAAACTGTGACTGTGAAGACCATTTTGTTCCTCTACCTGGCATCGAAATTGTCCAGCAACTTCAAAGCAACCATGGCGATTAAGCGCATGTTTGGTTGTTTTTAACAAGAAGCAAAACCTTTAGCCACGCCTGCAGTTCCGTCAGAGAGATTTTGATAAAGTGCTTTTCCACTAGCTACTTGTAATCAAGGGGTTTAAAGAGTTCTGCTCTGTCGATCCTATAAGGTGGGGGACCTTCGCCGACTCTTAGAGCTATACCAACGGTGGCACAAGATGGTCTTCCCATCCGTCACGTACAGTGACTTTGTGGAGAAGGTGGAGAAGCTCGGGACTAAGAAGAGAGTCAGGGTGAGTGAAACACCTGATCAGAACACTCCCATTGTAGGCCTTTAAGGGTGATTACGTCCAGTGGCCGGCTAGCTGTGTCTAGTGCGGGCAGAGTAATATTTGATGTGATTTTCACGTTTTGGAGTTTCTGGTCACCCTGGTGTGTAGTCAAGGGCATGGTTGCAACCATAAGCGCTGAAAGACGTTGGCAGAGAGTCAGTGTTCAAGTCTTATTTAGTGAGGATACTTTTGAGGAGAAAGGAGGCGATGTTTTGCCGTGTTGGAGGAAAAGCGCCATTGCAGGCGATCAGAGCGACCGTTTCTCCTGTTCTCCTTCTTTCAACCATTTTGGTAAACCAGGTGATCGAATTTTAGCTGAGATCTGAATAACTCACATCAAGTTGTGCATGAGACGTGCTGAGAGTGGACAAATGGAAGAGACTTTTCGAGAACAGCAACCGTAGTTGACACTGCATTAGCTCACAGTTTGGGTGCTTCGGCCCGGTTTCAGGAACACCCAGCTCAGCCACAGCTGCCATTTTAAGTTGGAATCACTACGATCTCGTGCAACCCCCCCAGGCAATTCATTCTGCACAACCGAGTTGCTCCGTACTACATCAACAGTTATCTGTCCGGTCTGCAGTCGACAATCCGGGACCTGAGGCACAGAATAGTGAACGGCGAAGACAACGCCTACGAGCCAGCAGATGTGGAACCCACGGCCTGGGGGACCGCCTGGGAACAGCAAGTGGACCAGAATGCTGCGGCTGATGGTAACGAGGCGTGGGAGAAAGGTCCCTCTCCAGGACAAGATGGCTGGGAGACTGGGATTGGAGCGGCGCCAAATGATTGGGGGGCTGCGACTGGGGTGGGAGGGGGCCCGGCTAGCTGGGCTGACGATGTGAGTGGGGAAAGTTTTGGGTTTCATTGGGTGCCACTTTGAGACAGAAGACGTCTTCTGGCGGTCAGAAGATTGCCAAAAAAGGTGCACTTCAGGGATATCTTGGATGGAATTGCCTCTGCACTTCAGAAGCCCCTGGTAGCTGTTGCTAGCCAAGGTCTCCTAACCTTCGGGGTCTGTCTGACCTTCAAATGGTCAGGCTACTCTAATCGGTACTTTTCCATTCGCTCAACTACTCTGTGACATGGGCAGGGGGACTCAAGACTTTTTTGTTCCTCGTTTTTGTGTCGCATGGCAGTATCTGGGTCTGCTCCAGCCGGAAGATATCTCGTTTACCAAGCCGAGAGCGAATGTTGACAAGCAATCAAGAGGTCAACTGTTTGCTCTCAGAATCCAGATGAATCCTGACTTTGGCTTGGTCCTGCGGTCAGTCTGACTTCGGTTTGAGCCGGCCTGACCGCCGAAAAGAGATCGCGCATCAGGGCCAGCGATGCGCATCTGACTTTCAAAGCCCCGTAGGATGCTGACCTTCTGTCGATCGTCCCTTCTTTCCCCCACGAAACGAACAGCGCTTCGGACGTAGTCCTGCTGGCGGAGATGTAGCAGCGGAGCAGAGAGTGCGCATCAATGCCAGCAAGTTGTATTTTTGACTATCAAGGCCCCACAGTATGCTGACTCTGTCGATCATCTCTTTGCTCACCAGGAAACGAACGACGCTTCGGATCCGGCCCCTGCTCCAACAGGCGAAGGTTTGACAGAGCAGAGAGGCGCATCTGACTCTCGTGCCATTTATACCGTGTCCTACTTTGTGCAAGATTCACTTTTTGGAAAAGAAGGATCGAGGCCGTCGAACGCCGATTGGACGGTCTAAGAAGAACATCTTGTTGTGCGCATTTGGGTCTGGTCATGGCGTCCGCCATGGAACAGGAAATAGTGGCGTGCTCTAGCTCTCTCCTCCTTCCTTTCTGGCGACCAAACAAGCAGTGCAGGGGCGGCTCTTAAGTTTACTCTAGCCCTTCCGAAGAAAGAGAGCAGGGAAGAATGGCGTCGCTTGAAAGTTTACTGCCAGAAACGCCGTCCTCCGCAAACTTTGGGACGAAAAGTGGTGGGTTATGCAGAAGTTGGGACCCAGTATAATTGGTACGAGACTTCCTGAGCCCTACAATGTGCTGACTCTATGGCGATAATGTCCTCTTTCCTCAGAAAACGACTTGCGCTTCAATTGCGGCCGTGGCGCCTACCATCGTAGCGTTATCAGCACAGCAGAGAGCGCGCATCAAGCGAACGAGGCGCATTTGTCTTTCAAAGCCCCACGGCATATTGCTGAGTTGATGTCAATCATATCCTCTTGTCCCCAGGAGACGAACGGCGCTCCGGCCCACGCTGCCATTGGCGGAAAATGAACAGCGGCGCGCACTCAAGGTCAGCAAGGCGCATTTGACTTACAGGCCCCCTAGTACGTTGATTCTAAATCAATCATCTCCTTTTCTCCCCAGGAACCGAACGGCGCTTCAGACGCGGTCCCGAGTGGCGTTGGCGGCGGGTTAACAGCAGAGCAGGGAGCGCGCATGGAGACCAACGAGACATGCGCTCTTGTGCTGCCCTTGGACTGTTGACTTTATCCTGATCAGTCTTCTCTCCTCCCCAGGAACCGAACGGCGCTTCAGATGCGGGCCCAGCTGCCGTCGGCGGAGGACTAACAGCGGAGCAGAGAGCGCGCATTGAGGCTAACAAGGCACGCGCTGTCGCGCTGCGGCGAGAGCGGGCCGCAAAGGCGGCAGAGGGCAGGGCGGCTGAGGGAGAAGGGGTTACGGAAGGTGAGCTTACGGCTTGTAGCGCGATAGGCCGCTACGAGATGATGCTCGTTTGTGGCTTGGAGTTCGTGGGTCGGCGGGTATTTAAGGTGTTGCTTCTTGTTAGCCTTATGCTGATCTGAAGAAGTCAAGTGGCTACTTTGATCGTCTGAGAATACAGATGCTCTCGCTATACATGCGTGAGGTGAGGTTTGAATGAAATCGTTACTGGTTCGCAAGTCTTGTCAGGAGCGACTATGAGAGCGGCTTGGGATTCTGGTGTGAAGCGCATAGCTTCTTACGATCCCACTTTATTCGTGATCGTGTGTTCCTGAGTAGAAGGGACCCTGACGTCATCACACTTTTATCTCCGTGGCTCGGATGCCGATCCATGTGCGAACCTTGAGGCGGGAGAAGTGCACGCCTTTTCATTGACAGGCGTCCTACCCCACAGTCGTGGCTGGACCTGAGCTTGCTAGCAAGTATAAAGACTTGCACAGCTTTCATGAAAAATAGCAAGGAGCAAAGTGGACGGGGCAACTTGGCAGGGTTCGTGTTACGACACCTTTCCTTGATTCTCATAGTCCCCAAGCCTGCTCTGCAGCGGACGGACTGATACTCGAGTCTTCTGCACACTCGTGTAGCCCGAGAGCAGGCTTTAAAGTATGGCAGGCTTGATCTGGATCGAAGTCAGGTTAAGGTTAGGGTCAAGGATTTAACCAGGTAGCGTGGTCTGTTGCAGCTGAGGAACACGAGCCGCCCCCGCCGGGTTCAAATAACCCGGCTGCCAAGTCCATGCGGCAGCGCCTCGCTGACGACACCGACGATGACGATGACGTCATCCGCAACGAGGCCGAGGAGAGAGTTTCGCAGGCAGCGGCGCATAGGGCGACCTCCGAGGAGCGCTCTGTCGCGGCGCAGAAAAAGCGTGCGCGCAAGGAGATGCTCGACAGACTGGCGCAGCGGAGGGGGGCTGCGGGGCAGGAAAGCAGTGGGAGCGATGGAGACGCGGGTGGGGGGCGGCGTCGGCGTCCGAAGCGCACGGACCATCCGGACGGTGACAAGGAGGGGAATCACGGGGCTGGGCGTTCGAACGGGCAGGATGAGCGTCCGGACGGGCGGGATGAGCGTCCGAACGGGCGGAATGAGCGGAACGAGCGTGCGAACGGGTTGGAAGAGGGTCCGAATGGACTTTCGGACGGGGTCGAGTTGGGCGCCGGAGACGGCTCGGACGCTGACGCGGTGGAATCGTCTGCGGCTGAGCAGACGGGGGGTGCGTCGGGCACGCAGAACGGGAAGAGGCGTCGCCTCCTGAAGACGGACGTGGTCGCAGAACTTTGCACACAGAACGGTTTGGAGGATGCGCTTATGGACGATGTGGAGGCGGTCGGGGCGAGGGCGCCCGCGAGGGCGCGGCGGAATGTGGTGCTAGACAGCGACGATGACGAGTGAGCGGGCGAGATGGTTACGAGACTATCTGGCGGCATACAGGTTTTGTATAGGCTGGAACTCGAAAAGACAGAGCCTGTCTCGATGACGATGAGTGTTGTCCGTGCGGGGTGAACGAGCTAGTGTAGAGGGAGTCGGGGCGCTTGCTCATTGGTTCGCAGCCCAGGATCATGTGACACGCGTTGAGAAGTATGGGGACTTTTAGAGAAGCAGAAAACAGCCTCGATCATATCTTTGGCACAGAAAGTCGGGACCCTGAGCACAGTTGTAATTTGGATTTCGTTGAGCTGGAGGCTTCTGCCCGTGGACCACCACAAGTGGATGCCCAGCAAAGGCCGCGCGCTGGACCCCGTCACATTTGCGCCGGAGGGCGTTGATATTTTGACCACGTTTCCGCAAATACGCAGAGTCCGAGTCGACCGTGTATGCTGATTTAAGACCCAGCGTGGATGGATGCAATTGTTACTTAGCCTCGGCAAAAATGTGGATGTTCGCCCATGATTTTGTGCAAGATGTAAGACGTTGCAGATAGACAGATATTGTAGGTACCCATCGATTAACATTCAATATATTAAATATTATATATATACGACCGCACTGAGGTAGCGCAGCATGTGTATAGTCGAATGACAACGCTAGTATGATCTGATATGTCGAATTGCGTATTGAAACATCATGTCGGACCGTCATGTGATGATGTCACGACTATTATCAAACCACATTGGGCATGATACTTTAGGAAGTGAAATTTTAGCATGCATCATGCAAAAAAGTAAAATTGGACATGCATGCATAGAATTTTCCCAAATGTCACACCACAGTTCTGTTTACAAAGGCGCCAATTCTGTAGTCAGCGACCCTGGATACCGTCAGTACACCATACCGTCGTGACATCATATGTGCCTGGAATTTCCAAGCTGTGCTTTTTGATCTCCAATATCACACGTACCGGTCTACCGTGAGTACTCGAAAATGTAAGCTTTAAATTCATGATTGTCTATTGTACAAAATCCTCTAGGATCCTCATATTCCGATCGTCGGATCGACCCTATCAGGGCAGCGACTCACGGCAGTTTTATTCCAACGATCGAAGCATGCCTCCTGTCTTTCCTGGAATCCCACTCCCATACATGTTCTTGCTGTTATGTTCTGCACTCTGTGCCGCGCAATCCGCCTGATGCATGGCAGCCGCTAAGCCGACTGCACCGTTAATTGGTTTCTGTGCATCACAATTCAACGTCTAAATCCACCCTTGACTGTAAGAAAACTAAGTGGGCTTCTCAAAGCAGCCGCTAAGCCGACTGCACCGTTCATTTGGTTCTGTGCATCACAATTGAACGTTTAAATCCACCCTTGACTGCAAGGAAACTAAGTGGGCTTCTCAAAGCAATCCGCCAAACTCTCTTATCCTTTCGACCTTCCATAATAGTTTCATACTCAAAACTCAAACGTCATACTCATACTTTTACTCATACCCTGTAACTCAAACCTTCCACAACGGACTCAAAGTCATATTCATACTCATACTCAAAACTCATATACCTCATACTCAAACTCCCTATAACGGACCGGGAACCGCAATCTGTTTCCCCTCCCGACAAGCTGTCGGAGCTAGAAGCACGACCGAACCTTGCTCCGTTGTTTTGGGAGCCGACTCTTCGGTTCGGCGTCTGACTGCTAGCCTACCTAGTTGATTACGTTGGTTAGAGTCACGTAGTCGCAGACAAGGTTCGGCAGGCCGGGAATCTCTGCAGTCAAGCGCGACTCAGTCAGCGGCCACGTGGCAGTGCTCGCGAGCAATTGACATTCTACGCGCGCGCACCCTAACGAAGCAGAAAGTGGACTTCGGTGTGCACGAATCAGGCAGTTGTGCTTCTTCGAACACTCTCGTCGTGACTTTAATATCCGTAAAAGTCAACTGTTAGACCGTCCAGAACAGGTGTACGTGGGGCTCGCCCTCAAATCAACGGTTGAGGACAGATGATTTTGGGCCTCGCTCTCAAATCAAAGGTCGAGAACACTTGTTCTTGGATCTCGATCTTCAATCAGCGGTCGTCGAGATACCTCGCCGGCAGCCTTGCGGCCAGACCAGACGACTCTATCAGAAAGTTGCCAAAACGCGGACACTTACGATCGGGTACACACACTGACGAGCTCCTCTATACCTTTGCTTTGCCATCAGCGGCGACCATCTGACAGGCCGGGCCCTTCTTGTGTCGCCGAGGAAAGACCATTCATCCAAGTTGGCGTGGAAGACCAGTTGCACAAGCTCAACAGGCTTGTGTCCAAGTTTCGGATTGAGTTTAAGGCGACCTTGAAGCAGACCGCGCCGCTAGTAGGTCGCCCAAATCGAACGCTCACTTGGGTTGGTGTGGAAAACGATCCCAGCCCTAGTCGAGGCGCACAAGTGGAGGTCTTTGCCATTCCTGGTCATCGCAAAAGCTCCGTTGCCGCCAAAGCCGAAGCTCTTCCCCCAAGAATTGCGGAAGAGAAGGTACTCGACCACGTCACCGTTGCGCTCCGTCATCGAGTTGTAACCGTATGCCAACACAATGTGATTGGTCTGTGTTGCGAAGACGCAGCTCTTGTCGTAGATTTTGGGCTGCAGGGTGAAGACGAGGCTTATGAGAGCGGTTAAGGAGATTGGTCGAGGGGACTTTCAGAGCGAAAGTGAGCGGTCAGGGACCCTGGAGCGAAGAGCGAGCGGGTTTGTCGATTAAGAAGCGTGCCGTGTGTTTGCCTTGTTGGGCGGTTGGTGTCCTGGAGACGGTGAGGAAGAAAGCAAGATGGCTTAGGTTTGGAGCACCCTGATCCACCATAGAACCTTGACTCAAATTCTGGACGTCCCGCGGTCACGACGAAACTCTTAATCTCATAATTTTTTGATTGGGTAAATCTCTGCCGAGACATATGGATTACAAGTCGAAGGCCAAGCGGTCACTGTTCTGCAGAATGGAGGAGGCGGTGCCGTCGACGAAGGTGAAAGAAAGCGCGGCGCCGGGAAAGTGGTTAAGCAAGCGGTTCAGAAAGCGTTTCAAAACAGCGGTTACAAGACTGCCAAGGGAAACTATTGCAACGCAACATAGGGAGCGACCGAGGATGCAAAAGTTACGCCCTTGTACTCGTCATTGAGCTGCTCCGTGTTGAAGTACAAGAGCGTTGGCTGGACGTCCAGGATTTTCTTCCAGTTCGCCCAGTTGTAGGGGCACTTGACCAGGCTCTTGAACCAAAATTCGGGGGTGCCCGCCTGCGAATGAACAGCCGCCACGTGTCAGTAAGTCACCCCCGATAGGTGTGAGCGCGGCGTGAGAAACGCTGGCACGCCCGACCCCCACCCTTGCTCCTTTTCTTGCTCCTACAGTTCTGAGTGAGGAACATCATGACACGTTCGTGAACCCATTCTAGTCCCTGCCACACTTGTTTTGATCTGACTGATCAAACAAGTGTGGCAGGGGCTACGTGTCAACAGCATATTCTTCGCACATTGCACACATTCCAAAGGGCTCACGAAACGCACGCAGTTCCCGACGCCGCGGATCCGCGCCGAAACAATGGCTGTACTTGGAATCCCACGTCGTCAATCAAAGCCTTCCGATTGACTCGAATGAACCTGGATGCGAATCCACTCTTTGCACGACCCGCAAACAGGCGTTGTGCAAGTAGAAGCTCTAGATTTATACGTACGAAGTCACAAGTCGCAAATGTAAGCACGTGACACATGGACAGAGGTCAATCGACGCTCGTGGCACTTACGGAACCACATCGATAAACCGACAGAAACAGCGAGTGAACAGGAACGGAGACGGGCAGGATTAGTTTGGGATTAGGTGGGGTACAGCTGCGGCGCGGGTGGTCTTTCGGGTTAGGGTTTCGGTGAACCCCAAAATGCTTACTGCTCACTGCCACGCTTACTGTTCACTGAATTCGAGGAGTACGGCACTTACGGGGCATTGCGTAGTGTCCCCGTTCCCTTGTTGGTATGGAACCCTCCACGCCGACGGCCAAAACCTGTTTTTGGGCACCCACGAAGACCACTCCACCTTGCCGCCGCCCGGGTCGCACTTTATTCCTAGGCAGTCGACGATCGCCTGCGGACAAATGGATGGCAGATCTTGAGTACTTTGGGCAGGTGTGGGGCAGGTTTGTCAGTTTGAGGCAGGTTTGGGCAGGTTTGGGGCAGGTCTGGGCAGATTCGGGCGAGTTTGGGTAGGTTTGGGCGGGTTTGGGGAGCTATTTTTCAAAGACCGCTTCACCTGAAGTTCATTCAGATCGATGTAGTGAACAGTGAACAGTGAACAGTGACGAAGACGGGTACAGATAGTTAGGGGGTATGGGTGGGTATGGGTGCGGAGCGGGTGATCTTTTGGGTTGCAATTTCAAGTGAACCCAAAATGCTGATTGTTCACTGGGCTAGTATTGTTACTAAATGACAAGTACCTGAAGTCTCCTTATGGCCAAGCGGTCGGTCAGATGAGTACCGGGTTTCGGGGCGGTGAATTCTGGCCGCTTATGGGCTGGATCAAAGAGTGTTAATTGTCCAATAACGAGACTCGAGCAATAACCACGTTTTCAACATGGTGACAGTGTTTATTGGTCAAAGAACCGGGTTGAAATCTGCTTATTAAGCCTGATAATCGGCCAGAGCTTCCTGTGCGAGAGTCAAATTTAAACGTAGACATGCATGCACAGCGGAACCGAGCAAAGAGCGGGACCAAGCTCTTTTGCGAAATTACAAATTTTCAGAAACGCGTCATCAAACACGTGGTAAGTAGATCGGAGTTATAGACGATGTCGAGGGGCACATTCGTATACAGAAATCGAAAAAGCATGCTACAACCTGATTTTAGAGGCTATGCTGCTCACCTCTTCAGAGCGGTTGTAGACGACGCGTTTCACAATCATGTTGTTCATTATCTCCAGGCTTGCCGTGGCTGAGAACACCCAGCAGAACCCGCATAGGCCTTGATCTTTGATTGGGTTGGCATACTCAATCCAGTTTGAAGAGCGGGGGGCACCGGTCTGGAGACGTAAGATGCGGACAGTATAAGCTATGAAGTCATGGATGTATATAAGATGTTTCCTGGCCAGGGACGAGAAGATCTGCATTTTTGAAGCAGTAACGCAAGCAACGAGTGGATGGTCCACATGGTCAGCTTGCAATTCTTCTTTGGAACGCACAGTTTGGAGGCCCTCGTCGATTTCTAATCGTCAGGTCCTGACTTTTCAGTAATGCTTGTCAAAAGTGGTGTGAATACTTTCGAGCAGACTATGGCCGGATGCAATGACAGAAAAGTGGCTACTCAAACATCATACGGGCAAACAATCTTGCCCCCCACAAAATCTGACGCGAGCACGATCCGTGAAAGTCAGCCACGCAACCACATGACAATGTCCAGTTCCAAGACGAAAGCATGGCGAATGGCCATTGTAGAACTTCAGAAAACAAAAGTCATCTTTTCTTTTCAGCTTTTCGAATTCGAAGCCCTGGGAAAGATTGGCTCTGAAAAGCAAACCTGCCTTCAGCATATGGTAGACAGGTGTGTCACATTTTGAGCACAGACAGGCAGAAGGGCTGCGACTTGGACCGAAACCCACTCGAAACCGATCCGACCGAAAAAGTCGGGAACCCAGCCCTGTCTTTGGACTCCTTGTAGGCTCGGCAACTCCTTAGAGACGGAAAATCTAGGTGAGTTACTCGCTGAAGAACCGTGACCAATGAGAGGGGAGAAAGAGCACCCCGAAGTGGTCAAGTGAAGTAGGGGGATCCCTTGCACGTGATTGAGAGATTTCCTTTGCAGATAAGGCAAGCTCACGCTCTGAAGCAGCCGCCGCGTGCCGATCGCCGTGACATTTTCCCCGAGAGGCGGCTCGTTGGGAAGCGCGCCGATCGGCTCATCCGTCAGTGTGACATTTCCCCCGAGAGGCGGCTCGTCGGGAAGCGCCCCTTGGTAACGCCCCCTGAGCTCCGCCCGCGTGCGGTCGATGTACTCGTGCAAGCCCACAAGCTGTGTGGAGTTGAGCAGCCGTACGACTTCCAGGGGCAACTCCATCTCGAGGAAGAGTTGCGCAATCTGGGTCTGGTTGACAACTCGGTTAGGGAGCGTGAAGAAGCTGACCAGGGCGGCGTTCTGGGCGACGATGGCCCGGGTGTTGTTGACGAAGACGGCGAAGCGGAACTGCTCCTCGGTGGCCTGCGAGAACGGGAAAGGACGACGTCAGCCCTGATGTCAGCAGCGGGGGACATCATGATGGAACTCAGATATAATGACGGCCCGTCACTGTGCGAGCTCGGAAGAAGTGTCTCCTACTCTGGGTAAAGAAGGTAAACATGTGCACAGCTGGTGGGATGGGGAGAGAATCGACCAAAGGTTTGATCAGAAGCTCTGAGAGGAGTAGGGGGATCCCTTGCCTTGCGCAAAGCTCTGAGAGAAGTAGGGGGATCCCTTGCCTTGCCCAAGTTTAAGTGTTTCAGCGCGTCTCTTTGACTTGTTGTCACCATATGGGAGGAGGACAAGCACAGGGAAGCAAGAGACCATCCCAACATCACATGTGGGCGCACACTCTGAGCCAATGTGACGCTCTGTGGAGATTGCTCAGGAACACCATTTGCTGATTAATGTCTAACCCACAGGAAATAATTTGGCATTGGCATCAGGCCTCCAAATCTCAGTCTCCTTGACTTCCAAGAGAGATGATTGCCTGTCTTGATTGCCTTGAATACCAGAAGCTTTGCGTTGCTCCCACAAATAGGCCTCTTACAGGACTGGAGCCCAACTACACCCCCAGACCAAAGTATTCAGACAATGTAATGAATGACAGGGGAGGAACAGACCAAGTTTTCTTGTAGCCAGACTTGCCAGAGGTTGAAACGATCAAGAAAGCAGCATATGTAAAGATATAGCCTACTGAGAAATGCGCAAGCCCAACAAGCAATCAGAAGGAAACAACGACCACTCACATTGAGGGAGCTCTTGTTGAACACCGCTTGCCAGGTCCTGAAGCAGACGAACAGGTCGCCGGTCGCATTGGATGCGCACGCCAGCACAAGGGGGAGCGTCTGGTCTACCAGCGTCTCCACATAATCCCTCGTCACATTCTCTCCAAACAGCTCAGTCAAGTTTGGCGACACCCTCAGCTGCGAGAGGATAAGCGTCCGGTTTACGCTTGATAGGTTATACGCCTGCGCTGCAGTTATGTTCAGCAAGAAGGGGGGAATTGTGATGTTTGGAAGAAAGGAGCTCGAGGGCAATGCCTGCAGAAGCTGTCGTTGGGTGACGGCACTGTCGGACCTTTCCTGCAGGGGGGTGGCGTGGGCTGTATTTGGAATCCCCTGGGAGCTTCCCATGGCGAGCACAGCCAGAAAGAGCTGAAGGAGAAGCGCCGCAGTCAGGAACTTCAGCGGAAGCCGCGCCATTTGACTCTAGCTGTGGTCGCCTTTGGTTCTGCAAGTGGTGTTGCGGCCGCTTCTTTGTGTCCCCAAGTTTGAGCGCCGGTTTGATCGAGCTCAGGAGAAAGTACTGAGAAAGCAATGAAGACAGACTTCCACCCGTCAGACTGGGGAGCTCAGCTTTCTGGCAGAACCAGGAAATGCTGCTTCCTTCTTCTACTTTTTGATGTTACCTATATACCCACTTTTAATACTTTGATACTTGAGCTCAGTACAGAAAGTTGTAATTTCGACGGTGGTCAGCTGTGCCGCACTGAATGTGCGAATACGAAGCGGCATGAGCACGACTAGCGGAGAACGGGCATGCCGCAGTACAGTGCGCACACCCTTGCAAAGGAATTGAACTTGCATGAAGCAATTTTCTAGGTATCAAAGCTTTCTCTGACTCTGAGTCTAAGAAGTCGGAGGGATTTTCCTGGCTTTCGAAGAGCACCGCGGGATGGAATCCGTCAGTCACTTGCAAATCAATCAGTACGTTCGACATGAGCCGTCAAACCAGGCAAACGTCAGCCGACGGAATTGACACCCGGCCGACTCAACCGAGGGGCGTCGGCCGAAAACCTTACTGACAAATGCCGACCGGTTCAGAGGTCCAGCCCTGAGCCGACTGACCGGAGAACAGTCGGTTAGAGCCGGCTGCCGAAATTCGAATGCTTGGGTCGACGACTCACGAGCATAATGGTCAACGTGTTGTCACTAGCGAGCGTTTATCTTTATGTTGTCATTATGTTGTCATTTGGAAACTCACGATTTCGTGTTGACTAAGGGCCAAGTTGACCAGTAAAAGTGCCCGGGGGAAGGATAGGGCTAGTTTGGGGGTTAGGATGGGTACGGGGGTGAAGCGCGTAATGTACGGGCCGGATTAGGGCTTTTAGTTAGTGTGCCCGGGGCTTCTGAATCTTCGGGGACAAGCCCCTAGGAGGCAAAGGAGTTGCCACAATCTATACCTGATCCGGACCCTGATGAGTCAGAACATGCGGCAAATACGGAGTGCATGCCAGTTGGCAGCTTTTCCTTCCACACGATCTTTCCGGAAAGGACTGCCATCATTAATGCTGTTTGCTCTCGAATAGTCAACAATGAACATTCAAAGAAGTACGGTAGTACTAAGTAGGTATGCCGGTTACTGGTATTTCGTAGTTGAGATTGAACCCCCTATCCTACATTTGCACTTCAGCCATATCAAAGGCCAAGCACAATTTGGTTGTGGTTGGGGATGCTATCAGGCACCCAAGCCGTCAAACGTTCACAGTGCACACTGAATCAAACATGCTACCCTTATGTGCATCGTAGCATGACTCAAGTCGAGAATCAATGATTCTCACGCACAGCTATGCCAATGGCAACGGATGCCAACCTCTTAAACAGAGGCCTACCAAGACATAGCAGGTGAACCCGCCCTTCCAATACACAGAACAGATGAAACAGATATTCTGTAGGCAAGATTCAATACCTCAGCAATCGAAGGAGAGCTAATATAATGCAAGGACTCGAGCAATAGCTCTAGGTTTGCATCGACTACAAGCCCAAGCTAGACTACAAACAAGATTACGGCCCCCAAGCGACCTCAAAACTAAACGATTCAATTCAATACGGCATTAGTGACATATAAGACATTCAATGGTCTTGACTTGTTTAATTTATCTCAGGCTCAGGCTTAGCCAACCGTCCACAGTCGAGAGCCCCTCGGCCTCCGTGGTCGAGTAGAGGGGCGGTCAAGCCCCCCACCCCCTCCTACATGCTGATTCCAGATTCCTACTTACGAATGAGGGCCAATGGCGTCATGACGCACACCCTTGAACTTCAAAATAAGGCAGTCTTCCTGAGCTTCCTCTGATAAAGTTGTTACCCATACACTTGAGCGTGGAAAGGTTCCTTTCGTGACTATACTGGGTATGCTCAGTACGTATATACTGAGCATATGTATAGTTAATCTTGGATCACACCTAGTACTTGGTCTTGCTACAGCTATACCATTTCGCGTTGCTTATCTTTGCGCATCCTTCTTAGATTGCTAACACAAAAGAGCACGAAACTATAATCGTCAAGCTCGAAAATGTAACAACATGCAATCTCACAACAATATCAATAACACAACATTTTGACAAGATCAATATGAATATCAACATAACATTGATTGTTGGCCAAACCAACTCGATAAGTTGTGTCCCCTAACTCCTCTACTAATAGTTATGGACAAACAGAGGGGATGGCGACGGCACTTCAATTAACAAATGACCTCCATGATGGAATATCATCCAACGAGCTCAACGACATACGTCCAAGGTGCATCTCTGGAAGAGACATGCCGACAACATCATATGGCACGACCAGACTCAGCATATGCATGTTGACAATCTATAGAATCCTCTTTCAATCCGACTGCTTCGTTCTCCTTCATCTAGCAGTTTATGTGCCACCTGGCGGACTCGGAACCGGCCCAGTTTTGGTGCGCTTGTAGAGCAGTCACAAGCAACAATTTACCACCAAGGGCAGCATGTCAACCAGACTATCCAAAGCTTTTACTACTTCTAGAATGGTAGGGACGTGTCTGCTTCTCTCAAGCGAGTTGCCACGTACAACCCAACCTGTTGCCTAAGATCTCTGATCGAACACACCGACCTTTCGTTGTCTCAGCTCTCTCAAAAGATAGACCGCCAACCGCTGTACTTGTTTCGAGCAGCACGACCCACCAGTAATGGGCTTACTTGTCCTTGCTGGATCCATGGGGCGCGATGAACTTGCTGCCCACGTCTTTCCAATCCGTAGACAGGGTCGTCCCTCCTGACTCGACCTACAAAATATTTCACACAAGTTAGAAGCTAAACTGTGGACGGAGATAAACCCTATAAGCGGGCTTGCTCTCTATCGCTGTCCTACAGGACTACTGCCCACTTCGTCGCCGGACATTATCATCATTCACAAGAAGGTGGTGCCGAATTCAGTGTGAAGGGATGCGGTTGCAATTTTCCTCATTTCTGAGGACTTCGGAGTCAGGCTCGTAAGACCATGCTGTTATTCGCATCGTGTCATTTGAGCCAACCGCTTTCCCTGCTGACAGCCAGCACCAGGGCACATCCAAAGCTGATTGGCTGCCACGAAATAACGTGTAGGCCAAAGCGACTCACATACGACTTGTTCATCGCGCGCCGCATGTCCTCGTCTGCGTTGGCGTAGATCTGCTGAAACAGCTTGTTCAGCCCCGCGTCGCCCTCCAGCTTCTCGTCCTTCTCTTCGGCCTTGATGCTCGCCTCTAGCTTGTCCCAGTCCATCGGCTCCGGGCGCTTCCGAGAAGAAGGGAACACGCGCGCTGACACCGCCGCCGTTTCTGCACGCAATCAAACTGTCGATACCCGGATCTTCAGTGGTGATAAGATTTGAAAACTGTTGCTCGCTTCCAGCTTGTCCCTCCCTTGGCGCTTCCGAGACGAGGGGAAGACACATGTCGACACTGCCGCCGTTTCTGCACGTGGTCGGTATGGACCTTTGGCGTATGGTAATTGCAGATTTTGAGTCTCTCCTCCAGCTTGACTAAGTCCATTGGCTCAGATCCCTTCCGGTGGAAGAAAGCGAGCGCGTTGACACTGCCGCTGTTTTTGTTTGCGGCTAATACCCACAGGGTCGTGACGTCCTAGAGTTCGTTCTTTTGTTACCGCCTCTGAATTACGGCCCGTCGGCTCGGCCCGCCTCTGACCGTCATATTCAATCACTTCGGTACACCGTTTTCAAGATCCCATGAAGCCAGAGCTAAAGCCGGGCCTCTGGATTTCGAAACCCTTCTGCGCGAGGCCGATTCAACAGACTGAGCATAGTGAAGTAAGCACCCAAGTGATGGGCTCTGGCCATCTAAAACATCAGTGTCGGGTTATTGCTCCATCGTACTTCCACAATGCATAGATTGTGGCTTCAAGTATCTATGCGCCATCCTGTGGAAGTAGACTCAACGAGCTGAATGGGAGAGCGAGACTGCTTAGAGAACAAGGGAGAAAGCTTGAAAGCAAACGCCGGACCCGACAGTCGTAACGACTACCGTGCATTGTGTTCGATAAAAGGACTCACCAGACTGCAGAAGATGGTGAAGTCACGAACTGACCACACAGGTAGGCGAGGTGCTTCACGTTCTACCAAAGAAGGGGACATCCAAGCAAGACTTGGAAATGTAGAAGAAAAGAAGCCGTCAGCAATGGGCGATGACATACCGTTGGACACGTTGACGGGCTGGTCTAGCTTCCTGGCGGCGTAGTCGAGGCCCGTCCATTGGATTGACTCCGCTTTCTCAAGCTTGATCTCGATTTTGGTCCCCATAAGGATGTGTCGGCTCTTTTCTGGAACCACCTTCAAAGATTGAAGGAAAGAGTTGCTTATGGCTGATTGCTGATTGACCCGTCGTTCACTTGTGAAATACGAAATGAGTTTCAAGGAAAGAAAGAAAGGACCCTTTGCCATACTCACGTAAAAGTACGGCAATCGCTTAGAAAGCCACAGACCTCGCACACGCAGCTTCAAAGCAAGGCTAACTCTAAGCGAAGCCTGTACCACTCAAGAAGCAGGGCTTTCTTGGGGCTTGGCCGTTCTTTCGATCTTGCTCAGAATTCCTGCGTTGCAGTCTTCCCTACAGAGAGCTTGTTCGAGGCTCCGAGTATTCCTTCGCCGTGTCTTTTAAAGTTCGGATGCGCTTTCGTGTGCGTGTTTCAAAGGTCAAGTATAGGAACCAAGAGGCAGATCCATTCCTGGTCGATACCGAGAGGTGCCTACGTTACTGCTAGTGTATCGACGAGCATACCTTTCCGTATAGCCGCAGCTGCAGAGAATAGGGATCCCCGTCTCCCGTGTCGATCTTGACGCTCAGCTGCAACAAAACAAAACCACTTTGGACAGGTAAAGCGACGCCATCGATTCTTGCAGCTTCTTACCCAATTACGACCTACGAGTTCGAGAAGCCAACATGATACTGGTGTTTTGCTGGGTGGATCGCAGGCTTTCAAGACAGGCACCGATTGATCGAGCTTCGGGTCAAGAATTGCAAAAGTTCGAAGATCAGAAGGCTGACGTTGACTTGCATAATGTTCATCGAGGACAGCATGGATGACCGGTCTGTGTTTGTTGGAGCTCGTGAGCAAGACGACTTACCGTTTGTACCCCGATCTCCACTTTCAGCTCCTCTGCTTTGATCTTCTTCGCGAACACAGTCACTGTTACTTGGGTGGCTGTTTGATAGAACTCATGTCTGCAGACAAATGCAATCTTGCTCAGTCGCCTTCGTATATTGAGGGCCTTGACATTATGCTACACCTTCAGGCCTCACTTCCTGGACGCAATCTGTCAATCTGTAGAAACTCGACAGAAGTACGATTAAAGTGGTTACCGAGAGTCCATGCTCGGGACTAGACAAGAAGCAGAAGCCTCTGCCAAGGTCTCCTTAATCAATCCTCTGCAAGAGGTTCAATACGGAGCCTGGGAACCGAATCCGCTGCAAAGTCATCAAGCATCACGCATGAAGCAGTCTCTGCTTACCAGACAAGCAATGCAATCGCTGTTTACCGATCATCAATCTCGACACACGTCCACCATAAACACATACCTGTACTTGGGCGGCGGTAGCGGCGGCTGCGAGACTTGTGGAGGGCTTGGCTCAGGCGCCTCTGCTGTCTCCTCGTCCTTTACTTCCGTTTTGGGACTGACAGACGGAGACTCTTTCGCTGGTTGGCTTGAGGTGGTAGGAGTCGGAACGGAACTGGTGACAGCGGGTGCTGGTTCTGAGGGCTCATTTTCATCTGCAATGGTGACATTAAATTAGCACGAGGGGATGCTGATGAGAAAATCTGAGTTGCTCTGATAAGCAAAGCACAGGAGAAGATCATACATGCCGAGAAGGAGAACAACAGGGTACTGTAAGCAGCAGCCAAACAAGAAAGAGAACACGTGAGGATATCTCTGAAACACATCTTATACAGTTTATAAAGAGAGAAAACTACGATAAAACCTGGGGATAAACATTTAATAAAACGTGGAAAAGCTTCGTCACTTGGCGGAGTTAGCATCGACAGCAAGCATTCAATGTGGCTACTAAAGCCCCTACATCTCATCATTCCTTTAGTCTGCAAGCCTCTCACACGGTAAGAATGTATGCATAAGACCATCCTTCAATCTTCTGCCCAGAAAGAAAGACCGACTAGATGAATGGGAATGAGGATTGTGTGACATCACGGAAGAGGTAGGCAGCAACAAAGATATATTGGGATCTGCCGTACCAAATCAGAGAGAAGCATCACCTGCTAGCTCCACGTCGCACTTGCGGATCCATGTCTTGTACTGGGAGTTTTTGGGGTCCAGCTTGAGCCCCTGCTCAAATGTTGCCTTGGCGGTCTGGAACTCCTCAAGTGAGAAGCATGCCATCCTGCGCAAGAGAGCATGTCAAAGCTTGCTGAATATCTACATGTGATGGAGAATATATTCAATAGTAGACAAGTATATGTAGATTGTACTTCAAAATAGCTGCCATCCGGTTTGGTGAGACGAACTGTTGAATTCTTCGATCTGGGGACTTTGATGCCTCTGGATGGATGAAGGGGTCCTAATGTCCAAGCAGTCTGGACAAATAAGCCGCACAAATTTGTGTGGTGCCTGGACCAAGCTTTGCACTTCAGAACGTGTTGGCTCTTAAGTTGCAAAACTCGTTCAAAAGCCTGAAATATTCAAGAAACCACTTCAGCCGAGGTCAGAAAAAGCACTTGCTAGGACACTGCCATCCAGTATGTCTCACCCTTTTCTCAGGTATGCCTTGCTTATGCTAGGGTCGATCTCGATGGCTTTGTTTGCATCCACGATAGCATCTGCAAAGAGCAAAATATGGAGATGGACCTTGGCCCACTTGAAAAATAGCACACTTGCTTCAATAGCGAATTTGGTGGAAATCACAAAGCAACAAGAGTGTGCTTGCCCCAAGATGAAGGACAGTATGAACAGACTGAACAAAACCGATTAGTCATGCCTTCAAACACACAATCTTTGCAGAAAGTACAAAATCTAGTAAGTGCGCACCACCATTTATGGCGTTACAGCACTTCCTTCTTAATTAGACAGATACCAGGATACGAAATGATGTAAGAGCTTGTCAGACAAGTTCCATAAAACTTGAGATTTCTTGCCCCTCAGGCTTTGTTAGATGCCTTTGTAGACAGAGTAGGCCTTATGTTAGAGAAATGCTTACCGAGAAAATTTTCCAACTTCAGATGCGCCGCCGCCCGGCTAGCGTAAAGGCTGGCATTGCCGGGATCCATCTCCACTCCCTGGGTGTAGCACTCCAAGGCTGCATCATAATCCTCGTCAACAAACAAGGCATTGCCTTTGCGCTCCAGTTCAGTAGCCATGATGTGATAGCACTCCACCCGATGTGCTGGGAAGCGGCCTGTTCAAGTTGCAAGTCAAGGAAGCTTTCAAGACCGGAGCTCAGCTGCAGCGACCATGCTTCTTCCGACTCCCGATTCGATCCAACGTCTTTCGGCGTCGAATTCAGCATATGAGCAGCGCTGAAACGGCGCACGCAAAACATAGGTAAGAGAAGGCGAGCATTTTGGAGCGCTGGAACGACGCCGAAGATTCTATACTCCTCGTCACAAATTCAGGGTTTGGTGAGTGCATGACTCGCTCCCTGGCAGTGGCAGTGGACCAGGGTTCCCTTTCAAGAGAGCTCTGTTCCCAAGATCAATTGTGGCGCTACGGGAGGCCTTCAGGTTGTCACGCCAGATGTACGAATCTGATTGATAGAGGTGCATTTTAATGTAGAGAGGGCGCTTCTTTGACAGGGTTTGGAAGAGGCGGGGGCTGACCTCTTCTGCTTTGAATCTCTGAGAGTCTGGTGGTTGAGCTCTATTGAGCAATCTTTGCAGCATGGACCCTACGCCACAGCGGATATCAGAATGGAGTACAGATGGCAAGGACGAAGCACCAGCCCCTATCATGTCCAGAATGTTCTCAGGCAACTCGCAGAAGCAGAGTTACCAGAAGCTATCCAGTCCCCATGTCAGAGATGCGGAGCCGTCAGCAGATTTGAGCCAAGTGCAGCCATCAAACACAAGGCAGCCAGACTTCCGCTTGTCAATTCCACCAGGCTCGCCAAGAGTGATGGGAAGTGTAGAGCTGCCAAAATCTGGCCCTTTGTCAGGTAAGACTCTTGAGGCCGTAGTATTTGCTTGGGGGATCTCAATTGGTGGCTTTCCATTATGCATTGCAGTGGTTCACAAATCAGCTTCAATCAGTAGCTAAATTCCTGCAACTGATGGCAAGCAGCTGATAGTAATGGGAAGTGGGACTGCCAAGGAGCCAGTCGTTGATGGAGGTCTGCATTATGTTTTGAAAGGTGTATCATTCCCCACAAAAGCTGTCTGTATGGCACAATGTGAAAGCCATTCACCGTTCACAATAGCACAGGCTGCCCATACAGCTAGTCAGAATTTCACCTAGTGTGCGTGTTGAGGATCTTGCTGTCTTCAGATGTTCAGAAGCGAAAAAAGTTTCTCAACATTGCACCTGGTTGTGATCCCAGCCTAGGAAGCAATCAAAGAAACATCAAGTATATAATGGTAGCTTTCTTCCTATACAAACCTGACGGTGTGTACATTTGACCATGTAGATCAAAATGCTCCATACGACCCTGAGTCTGAGACTCTGGCAACGAAAGTGCAACTTCCTTTGAGTTGCGCTTTTGGTAAATCATTGATTGAACGCTGCCACTCCCTTCCTTGATGAGATCAGATTGACTAGCCCTTGGAAGCAAGCGTCTATGCCCCTCCACTGGCAGCTTGCAGATATGTCCCAAGTTTCTGTACTCTGAGCTGGTAACCTAGTCCTAACGTTTTATGCTTTGAAGGTGCCCCAAGGGCCAACTCTACCGCCGGGTCGCCACGAACTTTCTCAGTGACTGTCGACGAAGACAGCAGCAGCAATGGGGAGGCAACGGCAGGACCGCGCGGTCCCAACCTACGGTTCCGAAGCGCCGCACATGCTGTCAGGCTGACTCGCATATACACCAGGCAAGGAACTCGGACCAGTCCAGAAGCTTGGATTGAAGCAGAGCCAGAGTATTGTCATTAAGAACTGCGAATCTTATGGGTGGCAACTCTGACCTGAAGGGTACTCAAAGTGGTTTTATCTTCGTGCGCTTGGGAAGTCACCTTTCTGGCTTGCTCGCTGAATCTGTTTTTTCACAACTCTTAAGTTTGTGAGGATGGGACTGTATCAACTCCTTCGAGCACTTGCGCCCTCAAGCATCTCTTACTTGCTGTTGGCAAGCAGTCTCTCAAAAATGTGAGTCACCTGTCAACATTCTGGCGCCTACTCTGCAGATCTCGTTTGCAGGAGAACGACACAATCCTTCCCACCCCCAAAGCTACGTCCAGCAACCCAGCGACCCCGCGCTTTGTGCAACGTTCCACTCCAAGTCGATCAGGACCGCTGGAAAAGTCGCCCAAGTCTACAGTACCAAAGTCTGGACCGATATCCCCTCAGGAAAACGACCCTTTCCAGGTACGGGTTCGTTTTAAAAGGACTCTGGTGACTAGAAGACGCAAGCGTCTCAATAAAGGATCATAGTGGACAATACAATAAGCCAGAGTCCGTGTGCCGTCCGCTTTCTCAGTCTCTTTGCCTGAATTGACTGCTTCCGAGTGCGCGCCGTTGCTGCTTGAAGCATGCACTTTCAGAACATATCAGCCCTTTGGAAAGCGGGCTGATCCAGCGAAGAAGTCAAAGCCTCACAATCGACTTCGGGAGCTCAGTACGTTGTTGCTGAATTTTCGAGCATTTATGATTGCAGCACAGTAGGTACCCTGTTCTCTTTGCTGAACAAGCCTTGCCTCTTTTGATGCAGGATGACGAGATTCTCCCCGAAGAGACGAAACCAGACAAGCGCCTGTCCTGTTTCATGTTCATTCAACTGCTGGTCACAGTTCTCCTCTTGGCGGGGGTCATCGTTACTGCCGTTGTGAACCCCCCCAGGAAGGACAAATGGCTCGACCTGGAAATATGGAAGGCAAGCCTAGCAAGACTGGTGTTGTCCTGTACCCTCCGGAAGCAAAATCACAGTGGTACTCGTCTGCTTTGAAGGGGTCTGTGCCGGATGTTTTTCCTTTAAAACCAGACGCCCTAATCTTCCTCGATGTCAACTCGTGGGCAACTGTAAGCGATTCAGAACCTGCTGCAAACTCGTTTGCTTGAACGACATTCGCTACTCAATCGAGTTCTACTGAGCAAGTGCGAGCAGTCGCTTCCTTCTGTCAGAGAGCTCAAATGTGCGATGAGCGAGAAACTCAAACCGACACATTGCCGGCCTTTACAAGTAAAAAAAGGTGCAGCTTTACAGACCCCATCTCACCCTAAACCTCAAGCGAGCCCCGCCGCAACCCTTGCCCTGCAACTGTAATAGGCTGAAAGAAACGCTCAGACGCTCTGAACTTTCACAGAAGCGGGACGAGGCTTTGAAGCCATGTCTAATCTGTGCAGTGGCTCCTGCTGGCCTTCGTGCTCCTCTCCGGTCGCTACATTGCGTCGTGGCTCGTGAAGCTGCTGGTGCGCGTCATCGAGCGCAACTTCCTGCTCAAGAACCGCGTCCTCTACTTCGTCTACGGCCTGCGCAAGAGCGTCGCCAACTGCCTCTGGCTCGCGCAGGTGCGTCATGCTGACGTCATCATCAACGAGCGCCCAGCATGCGAAGAAATGCTTGTCCTTGTTTCCATCCTCGTGCGAAAGTTGGAATGCTTGACAGCTGCATTCTCTTAGAAAAGCTTTCAGAGCGTGACGCTTTCGTGAGCACTTAGTAGAGTCGCCTTGAATGAGCAGAGTCTCAGACGAAGACAGCAGTGCCCCTGGTCGACTTTTGCGTTTGCTGCCGCCTCGCTAATCCCCTCATCGGCCAGGAGCTCTCAATTCTCAATCTTGAAAGACCGGACACTTATTTGAAGGACCGAGAGACTTCAGAAAGTAACATCAAGTGACCAGGACCAGTTTTACGTCCCGTTCCCCACAGGTGCTGTTAGTCTGGTTCATCTTCTACGACCCCAAGACCGCCTCCGCTCGCAAGCTCAACATCATCTCCAAGATCCTAATCTGCCTTCAGGTGAGCCAAAAATCCGTATTCCCTGTCGCCCACTTCTTTGCCTCCACAGTTACTCTCCACGTCCATGTGCTTGTCCTCGTCCGGTGTATTTCTCACTCTCTTGCTTGCTCAAATGTGATCGTGGTGTTACCAAAGATCCTGGAGGGTGCCAAAAGCTGGCTCAATTGTGACCCGCCTGGCTTCTTTTCCAGGTTTCTCTGGTCTTACCACTCTCTTGTGCTGGAAGTCCCCGAGTGCCGTCAGATTCGTCAATATCTCTCCCAACCTTTTCTGCTTGATATGCATCTCGTCTAGCTTCCAGCCCGTTGGCTTCGATTCCGCTTACCCTGCATGTTGATCAAAGCGGTTTCCTTGACCTTCTCCAGATCGATCGGTCTCCTCGTCATCCTCTTAGGAATCCGGCTCGCTTCCGCAGACAAAAGCACTCGCAGACTTGTTGGCTTTCAGGGCCATATCTACACTTACTGCAGAGTTAGTGTCCGTTCCAATCTGCACCGAAGAACATACCCCGATCCTGCAGATCACGAGCGCACTAGCGGTCCTCAAGGTCCTCCTCGTAAAAGTCGCGGCCAACGGCTTCCACCGCCGCGCCTACTTCGACCGCATACAAGAGGCCCTGTTTCGGCAGTTCTTGCTCGAACAGCTCTCGCAACCCAGCTCGATCGTTCCCGCCACAGACCAACACGAGGCCCCGCCGGAGGTCACGGTTCCGAAAGGCGGGCTCAAGCGCACGTTCGGCTCAGAAGCCGGCGGTGCCTGAGGAACGAAACTATATGGAGCGGAACGGCGATGCGCGGGGTTTGGAAAACGGTCCCGGGATTGTGGAAGATGCTCCGAACCCGCGGCTCACGCGGATGAGGTCATCCGGGGATGCTGCTGACATCAGGGGTAATGTCGGGAATCAGGAATCGCCCCACTCGAGTCGAAGCATCCGGGTGCCGACACCTGGCGCACAGGTAAAGCTCTCGCGAACTTACCACGGTAGCTTGGGCGGCAGGCTTCCGGTATGTAGGAAAAGCGCGCGCTGACCACTTAAGAGCGCGAACATGCTTCTTGAGCACAATCAGTACATCAGTTGCTGCTTGTAGCGTGCATTTCTTTGAGGAAAATTCCCCGAGATAAACGGTAGAAAAGGGATCGCTGAAAAAGACTTCTTATATGTAGCAGCTGAGCTCGTTACTTTGAATCGACCAACCAAATGCATCCGATTTCGCTCCGAGCAATCTTGAATTCAGGACCGTACTGCTTCTTCGAAAGTATACTTCGTTCTGAAACCCATGTGCTCCGAGTACTCAGGTGAAGAGCGCCATCCCGATCGAGGCGCACAAGCTGCAGTACCTGACGTCGGACACGGTGTCCGCGTACGGGCTCAAGAAGCTGGTCAAGTTCGTCCGGAGCACCAAGATCCGGACGTACTCGTCCATCATCTCGCACCAGGTGGGAAGCCCGCTTGTGCGTTCTGAAAACCGTCTGTGTTTGTAAGAGAGGTGTTACCGAAGGTCTTTGCAGGCTGACCCGAAACTAGCAGCGCATAGTCACAGGCACTGGAGCACTTTTTTGGAAATATTGTCGAGATGTGCGTTCTTTGGTGGGGCGATTTGGTCTTCAAGGACGACCAGGTTGTTGTTTCCACATGTCGCACACAAACTGGACGCTGCACAGGCATCTTCCGAAAATCATGCGACGCTTTCCTCACTCCAAAAGTGGGAATCATCAGCAATGCCAAGTAATATGCTCTGTTCATTGCGCATCCGGCAGATAGTCCGCTCACCACTTTGCTCAGAAATCATAGTAGTATCGTCTTCGGGCCTCTCTCTGGACACCCTCTATCGGTCTTTTGAACGCTCTGGCAGAGTGACTGAGCGAAGGTCCAGCCGATTTCAGGCAGTCACGCCGCAATTGTGCTTAGTGCTCCTTACCAATCATCTTCTACTGTCATTGAATACTCTTTTGACCCAATTTTGACCTTATTCTGGACACTTTCGGGCCCACCTTTGGTCAGAGCAGGACGTCCTGAAGATCGATAGCGACTTTCAGACCAAGGGGTGACACACTCGGCTTTTGATAAATTGACTTTCCCTTCGATCTACCAAGACACTCTTTGCACACCTTTCAAGCGCTCCTGTAGACGCATTAATAAAATGCTTCCCTGCTCAGCATAACGCGTGGGGATCCCTTTCCTCAGGACGCCTCCTCGAAGATCGCTAGCTAGCCTCAGGTAGGCGGTCAGCAGCGCATTTTTGCTGCTACCAACCGAACGGTCTTTTGGCAAGATGGATTCGTTTCAGACACTCTTCAATCATCCTTCACCGCTCACAACTGCTTTGCGGACGCATCTCTGCGGGACGACAGCGAGTTCCAGGCCAGGCGGTAGCGCGGCGCGCGGCATCAACAGCGGACTTCTTCTTCTTCTTCTTTGCTGCAGATTTTCTTCAACCAATATTCAGTCGCTCTTGTAAACACTTCCGGAACTCCTTTCGGACGCTCTTTCAAGCAGGACGACTTGGAGATTGCCAGCATTTCAGGTTAAGGCGGTGGCGCAACACACGACGAATCTTCCCTTGTGGCAAACAGTCTTTGGACACCCTTCATACGCTCTTTCGGACAATCCAAGCAACTTCTTTGACGCTTCTTCGTACAGGACGAGCCAGAGATCGCAGCGATTCCCAAGCCAAGGCGGTGACGTAACACACGGCATCAACAAATTTTCCTCATCAAAATATCTTCGGACAAACTTTGTCCTCTCTTTTGAAGAAAGCCGGCAAATCTTTTCACACTGTTTCGTACAGGACGAGTCGGAGATCGACAGCGAATTTCAGGCGAAGGCGGTGGCGCGGCGCATCTTCCGCAACGTGGCCAGCCCGGGGCAGAACTACCTCACGGAAGACGACCTGCTGCACTTCCTCGACGAGGCGACCGCGGAGCGCGCGCTGTGCACGTTCGAGGGCGTGGAGCGGGGCCGGATCACCAAGCTGGCGCTCGTCAACTGGGTGAGCAGCTATTTGTTCAGCTCTGAAGTTCGTCTTCTAGCCGAAATGTTCACGCTTTGGACCATTTGGGTGCGTGCTTTGAGTGGCTTGCATTTGACAATGCTCTCAAGAAGAAGGAGGACAAAAGGATCACCAAGCAGGCGCTCATCAACTGGGTCAGTAGCTGTTTGAGTCAAGTAGGCGTTTGGAGAGTGTTCTTTCGGCGAAACATTGACCCTTTGGTCAAGTGAATGCCTGAATCAGCCTCATAAGTTGGAAAGTTGGAGACGCTTGTCAGAAAGGGAGAGACAGGAGTGCGAAGCAGGCGCTCATCAATTGGGTGAGTGGATACGAAAGGAGCTTTGACTTTGTCTCTGAGCGTGAAATTGTTGGATCATAATCTTCGACGGGAGCACGAGGTTCAAGGAGCTGGTGTCCAATCGAACTAGGCAACCTTGGAAAAGATTTAGGGCATGACCGTGGTCTCTCTCACCCCGCATCCCGACTGCTACACTCCTACAATTGCAGGAGTCTGCTTGTGTCTGTCAGCGTCTCATCGATACGGTTTCGTGATCTGGGTAAACGTGAGCCCGAGTTTTGATTAGATTCCGGAAATAGAGGGTTAAGGGCTCTGCACTCGTATTACTTAACCCCAAACTAAGCCTGCCAGTCCGTTACTATTCACGGGGCTTACAGGTCGCTGAATCGATTGGAATCCCGAATGGAACAGAAACCGCCTCCGACAAGCGCTTCCGAGAAAACCCAGCCTTTACTGGCGCCTGACACGTGGCACGTCCTGATAGGTGGTGGGCATCTACAAGGAGCGCAAGGCGCTGGCGCTCTCGCTGAGCGATACCAAGACGGTGGTGGCCAAGCTGCACTGGGTGCTTGACGTCATCCTCGCCCTCTTCCTCGTCATCATCTATCTGCTCGTTTTCAACATCAGCGCCACGCGGCTGCTGGTAGGTGTCAATCGTTTTGTTTCCTGAGACTCTTACAGCTGATATGTCTCAGGACTTAAATGATTACGTCCTTGTCCGTTTCTTGTTGTTCTCTTCTCCCTGTTCCCCTGCTCCCTTGCTGACGTCATCCTCGCCGTCTTGCTCGTCCGTATTTACCTGCTCGTCTTCTGACATCAGCGCCTCGCAGATCCTGGCAGTCTAGCGGTTGGCCTGTAATCTACTTGAGAGACTGTAGGAAGAAAACGTTTTGGCCTAGCTTGCTTTCAACGCTTGCGGGACCGTATCCTAAGGACATATATCTTCTGACTCCTCCAAGTTTTCGGCATATTGAAGGTTGTGCGGTTTCTTGCTTTCATGTGCCGCACACTCAATCAAACTTGTGCTGGCGAGATGCTTGCTTCAATTACTTTCCCTGACACGAGGTCCGGTCAGTACAGTCATGATTCGCGGTTGAAAGCATTCCGTTTCCTATCAATCCAGAAGTTGTGGACCTTGGGAAGTTTCAGTGCTAGTGGCTTTGACGTCATTTACGTTGTTGATTCGACGGGGTACCTCCCTGTTACCATTATCCTTTGAACACCGTCAAGGATCCTTGCGTTCGGTAAAAGAGTATTGTGGTTGTAAGCAGATGTTGTCGTCACATTGGCAAATCAAATTCAAGTTCAGCCGACGCAAGAAAAGCCTTTAACTCCGTCCAGGTGATCATCTCGACGTGGCTCCTCCCCGCCACCTTCATTTTCGGCACTGTTGCCAAAAGAAGCATTCCCTTGAAATTTCGCAACCGGAAGCAGTGCTTTTCGCCAAAACTCTTTTCTTGCAAACGTGGCCAATTCTAAAGCCCAAAAGCCCGACATTGTTTAGGTGATCATCTCGACGTGGCTCCTCCCCGCCACCTTCATCTTTGGGACCACCGCCAAAGACATGTTCGTGTCCCTCATGTTCCTGTTCGTGCGGAATCCGTTCTCGGTGGGCGACAGAATCCAGGTCGACACCACGCAATACATCGTCGAGGAGATGAACATCATGGATACCACGCTGCTGCAGTAGGAGG